TTCCTACTATCCTCAGTTTCGATTTTCTCATCAGCTATTTTGTGTTTTCTTACTCGTCTTCTATCGCATGACTCCTCTCTTCTTTCTATTTGATGTTTGCCTTTCATCATTGACTTACTTGAATGCTTTTTCAAGGTTTCCCCACTCGAAGCATCTAAATTTTTTGTCTTCGGCTCAGTCATCGATTTGAATAGATCCGTCTCTGTTTGAAGCAACTTCTTAACTTGAGCGGGACCTCGGACTTTACTGTCCTCACTTTCGATTTTCTTATTTTGTGTCTTTTCTTTTTGATTTTTATCCTTTTTCAAGGTTTCCCCACCCAAAGCGTCTAAGTTGAGTTTTTGTGCTTCTGATAATGCAACTTTTGAGCTTAATGTATCCATTTCTAGGTGAAGTTGGTTCCCCTCATCTTGAGTTGGACGTTGAACTATCTCTGGCTTTTTATTTTCCTTACTATCAGTTTTCGCATTAATTGGCTTCTGTTCAGGCTTTTTATATAGTGACTGTTCTTGTCCTTCTTGCTTAAGCTCAGCATTATCCGTTGCCTTATTAGAATGCTTATTCAAGGTTTCCCTACTTGAAACATTTAAGATTTCCGCGTCTAGCTGAAGAGGGTTCTCAACTTGACTATGACCTTTGATCTCTGGATTTTCATTCTCCTCACCATCGGCTTGCTTATGAGTAAGCTTCTCTTTTCGCTTTGCTTTTCGTGACTTTTTATCTAGTGACTCTTCCTTTGCATCCTTTTTAAGCTCAGCCTTATCAATTGCATGTTTAGAATGCTTTTGCAAGGTTTCCAAGCTCGAAGCTTCCATCTCAAACTGGAGCTGGTTCTGCTCATCTTGAGCTGGACTTTGAACTGTCTTGGACTTTTTATTCTCCTCACCTTCAGGCTGCTTATCAATAAGCTTCTCTTTGCGCTTTGCTTTTCGCGACTTTTTACCTAGCGACTCCTCCTTTCCTTTCTGTTCAAGCTCATCCGTTGTCAATGACTTATTTGAATGCGTTTGCAAAGTTTCCCCGCTCGTTTTATCTTCATTGCGGTCTTTTGGTTTCCCTTCTTCCTGCTTTGTGGATTGACCTTTTTCGAGAATACGATCTCGCTCAGTTAACTTAACCGGACCCACCTGTTTCTCTACATCACCATCGCTTGGTGTCTGTTTAATTTCTTGATGATTTTCCTTCGTTCGGTAGTTTTCCTTACTCTTGGATTTTTCCAGCTCTAAGTCTTGCTGCTCATCGACATCTCTGGTCGAATTGCGCCGTTTTTTCGACCGCTTTTTCTTGGAGTTTTTATTATCCACAGTTGGGCTCTCAACTGGCTCATCAACTTGTGTTTGGGTTTCTTCATTAATTTTTCGTGACTCTTCGTTGGGACTTTCCTTTTCAGGTTTCCTTTTCTTATTTTTCTTAGCCTTACGGCGCTCTTGCTTCTTGCTTAGTTCTTCCTGTTCACGTAGATTCTCGAGTTCCTCTAAAACTTTTCGCTGAAGCTTGCTACACTTCTTGGATTGCTTTCTAGCTGATTTCATTGGCTCCATTCCTTGGCTTAGGTATTGAAAGAATCTTAAAACGAGATGATTGAGAATAAGTAACTTAGATTATAAAATTAAGTGTAAAACCAACCTCAGGGCGATGTTGACTTCCTGCGCTGCCTCTTGCAGCTTAGTGAGATCAGTTTGGATGGATTCAAATGAGCTCTTAATAGCCTGCTTTATGACTAATCCCATATTATAGATTATATTCGGGTCATGGGGCGCTGTACGCATAGCCCGGCTTAGCATCAACTTGGCCTCATCGAACTGTTGGCACTGATAGAGAGCATGGGCTAGAAATTGCAATTCAGTCACATTGTTAGCGGGCAGAAAGTCCTTCAGGTACTTCCCATAGATCTCTACGGCGTCCGAGTAGTGCTCCAGGCCCATGGCTACGTGTGCCGCGTTCAAGATTGCATTCGTGCAGCGTGGGGTGGACTTAACAATCATTTTGAAGATTGTCTCTGCATCTGACAAGTAGCCGAAATGACACAAAACCACGCCTATGCCATTTGCCGCCCACAGATTACGTTTATTTTCCTGGAGGCCCTGAACCGCAATACTCGATTAAATAGAGAAATACATTGGGTCTAATGCCGAGCTCCTCCCACTCACCTTTGCGAATAGCTGCAGAGCACGTTCCTGGTGCTTTCTAACCATGTCCGATTCGCCATTTTTAGTGGCCTCTTTCGCCTTGAGCAGGCACACGTTGGCCACGGCGACGAGCGTGTTGGAGTCCCAGGCATGGTTGGGCCGACGCATGATCACATTGTAGCTGCACATGGCCTCCGATAGAGCGTTATGCCTGGCACATAAGTTGCCCATAAACGTTCTGCAAGGAGTTGACTGGCTTATTACAACGAAAGTGAGGACGGATTAGTTCTTACCTGGCTAATATGTGATCGACTTCCAGAAGAGTGATAGTCTTGAAGTGCTCCTTTGCAACGACTGCTTGATTGCCCTTGATGGCCATCACTCCCAATCGCAGATAACTATCGAAGTAGTTCGGATACTCTACGGTTAGACACATGTAGCTGGACGCCGCTTCATTCATCCTGCCCAGATCCTCCAACACGCGCGCCCTATTGAACCTCAGAGTCAGTAAATTGCTCTCGCTATGCTCTGAGTTCGGGTTCTTCGGTAGCTCTCTAATTGCTTTATCCAGTGTAGCAAGCGCCGCCTCTGGCAGCCCGGCGTGCTGCTGCAGCGCAGCCAAATTATTAAGCCAAGGGAGTGGTATATCCTTGTCCTTACTCTGCGCACTTTGGTAGACGCTGATGGCCTTCTCATAGGCGTCAATGGCCTGCTGCCATTGCTGTTTGCGCTCGTAGACGTTGCCCAGGGCCAGCCATGTGTTGCAGTCCTCCCGTCCACCGTGGTCCAGCGCCCTCTGGAACAGCAGAACGGCCCTGTTCAGCTTGTTGGACTCGTTGGACTGGGTGTAGATCAAACCCAGCATGCACAGCGCCTCCTTGTTCTCGGGCATCATCTTGAGCAGAGTGCGCAGCGAGAGCTCCGCCAAGTCCAGCTGCCCGCGACGCACGTATATCTGGGCGACGCCCAGGTGTGCCGGCGGAAAATTCGGTTGGCACTTCACGGCCTTGCCATAGAAGTCGAAGGCGCGATCGTAATCCTTCGTCGCGTGGAAACTGCGCGCAATGTTGTAACAGTTTTGGGCCTTCAGATCCGGATCATCCGTAATTACAAAGGCATTGCCCGCCGCCGTCCGCAGATTCTCATAGTTGCGCGTGTAGTACAGGTGGAACGACAGCCAGGTCAGCACGACGGGATGCCGATCGTTCAGCTTGAGCGCAGAACGAAGCAGTTCCATCGCAGCGATGTTGGATTCGCGCTTGCGCTCGTTGAGCTTCAGCTGGGCAGCGCCTATCAGCGCATTTATGCAGAGTGAGTTGCTCTCCGCGGCCAACTCGAAGGCCCGCCCGGCCCTGTCCAGGGCGCCCATCTTTAGGAAGCAGTGGGCAATGCCCAGGCGCACATCGGCCGGCCCGTCCGGATGATGCGAGAGCACAGTCTTGAAGTAGCCCAGGGCCGTGATGTACTCCTGGCGATTGTACGCCAGGCAGCCGCGGCCCAGCAGCGCGGGCACATTGTATGGCGACTGGCGCAGCACGCAGACAAAGTGCTTGTCCGCTTCAGGAAGACAGTCCTCAACCAGCATCAGTGCAAAGCCGCGACACAGCAGGTACTGAATCTCATTGCACACCATATTCATGGCGTCCATGATCTCCAGCTGGCTCACGACCTTCTCCTGCCAATTGCAGCTGCGCTGGCCCACGTCGTTGCAGGCCATGCGAAAGTAATGGCCGGTCAGCATCATGTGGGTTTTGAGCAGATCTTCCTTGTACCCGGGATATCCGCCTACCCCGCGCGTAATCGAATTCTCGAGCAGCATCACAAACCCAGCAATCTGATTTTTGTTGTAGTACGTCCACTGGCATGAGGAGTGCGAGAGTGCAGAGTGAGTTGCATATATTCTCTTTACTGTATGTACTCTATGTATGTGTGTGTGTGTTTGTGATCTACTTACAGCCCTTTGTATCCAATCGCGCAGCTTGGCACGCTTCGAGGTTAGCGATTCGAGGGCCTTATCGGCATCGCCCATGTAGGAGTTATCACTATCATTCCTCTGCATTGGCGATTGATAGAAATCAATTTTTGTAAGATTTCTATTCTGCATTGTGAAAACAATTGTCGTACACGCTTTGAGAAGTTTTATGAAACAGATTGAAACTTCAAAAGCTCTCAAACTAGTATCGATATCAAAGGGAGAATTGACAGTTGGCAATGATTACTAGATGGGTATTCCACTAAAATGGATGCGAGAATCGGAAACAAATGTGAACAGTATATTGAAAAGCTAGGATCAAATATCTTAGCCATGTATTTTATTAACATATGTACATCGATTTTGTGCAAAAATATTTATCAAAATAGTTGTATATCCTGCACCAAGTAAAAATGCGACATCTGGCTAGAATGGACTTTTGTGCAGACAAAAGAATGCGCGGCAGAATCCATAAAAAATTCGCTATCCATCTCTCTATCGGTTCTTCCGCCTGATTGTCTGCTCGTCCCATACGAATTTGATGTGTAATGATGTGTCTTTAATATATTTTATTTTTGTTCATACATTCAAGTAGTAGGCGCATCCAGCCCAAAGAGACTGAGATTCATACCCATTTTTTCTGCACTTATTTTGCCCTATTTGTCCAGTCTGTATATTGTATGGTTTGTGGTATAATGCCAATTCGTTTAGCGGGTATAGCCACTAACCAGTGATAGCACTATGGTTAACCATCGATGCTTTGCAATAAATCCATCCATTACCATGTTAAGGGGCACAACCAACCGAATCTCTTATTGGCCTGCTACATTTTTAGATTTTTAATATTTAATATAACCCAATTTAACATACTTAGATTCTTACACTTTATACTCTTGAATCAATTTGGTACATCTGAAGTGCTGGGGCTTATCATGGATACTATGGTCTTGAAAGTAAAACAATTTGTATTAAAGCAATGAAATAAAATTAAATATTAATTTTCGAGAAACATGGTTAACTGTAAAGTACTAATAAAAGTCCGTTTGATTTATGGGAAATGGAAGACTATTACTTGGACACATTAAGTGTGTAAGTCGAGCAATTACATTATACTTATTTATACTATGAATGCCATCAGTATTATTATTTGTACCAAGAAAATTCAATTTAGAACAAAAGTTATCTCAATTAGGTGCGTAGGTGGGTGAATGAGTTTGCTGGAAATCTATGTACATAAGTATATACAGTGTGCACACTATGTCTTCGCATAGCTACAACTTTTTTCTATACGACATATAGAATAAAAATTAAAAGTAAAATAAATGAAATACATGTTCAACAGTTTTATTATCTAGTTCATTTTACAAAGACAATTACATATACATATTATTATACATTATGTTTAACAAAGAAATAACGCGAAATCTCTTGTTTATGGTCTTCCTACCGTAAAATTAAATTCCTTAAAATTAGATTAGCTAACTAAAAATGTACGAGCCCAAACCACTATTAATTCGAACAGCATGTTTTTTTTGCAGTGCGCAATGTTTAACACACTATATTGTCAATACTACTAAAGATAACACATACCAATGCATTTCGTCTTAAAGAGAATTTTATTCTCTTCATGATGAAAAAAAAAATAATGCTCTCTTTCCAACAACAACAAAAATATGAGTAATTTATTAAAAAGGTATACTTAAGAGATAAGAAAATATTGACCACTATTAATTCGAACGCTGCGTAAGCTTACCTTAATCTCAAGAAGAGCAAAACAAAAGCAACTAATGTAACGGAATC